TCAGTTAACATTTATTATGCTGAGTATTTACTGTGTCTTTCCTCTCCAGAAAATTCACACACCTTGGGAAGGGATCATGTTGTGTTCATCGGTGTTTCCAGAACCTGGGACAGTGTGCTTGGCACCAGAGTGGTCAGTGAGTTCTTGCCTGGATCTGACCACCTCCCTAGCAAGGTTACTTGGTGACACCAAACTGAAGCAGTTTTGGGAGCAAAGGAGAACACAGAGCCCATTGTTGCTCCCTTTCTTCTCTCCATAGGAAACAGCTCCAGGACATTGACCAGCCAGGCTGTGAGACTGTGGAAAGGCCCTGCACTGGGCTGCTGCTGGCCTGGGGGAGGGAGGTGTGTGACCCAGGCTGCTTGTGTCTTCTCTAAACCACGGCACACAGCAGCTCCCCTTGACTCATTGAGAAATAACTTGAGATGCTGGCTGGCTTTGTTTCATGACCATTTTAAACTTAATGGTTAAGAATGAGTAAATTAGGTGAATGTAAACGGGATAAAAGTTTGTAAATGAACTTTTCATTGTTTCTTTTGCAGTAACTTATTTTTAAGTGGTGTCATGATTAGGTAGTAGATTCATGAAACATCTGAATCATTTCTAAGCAAGATAAAATACTGAAACATAAATTGCTGAGCGTAAGTTTATTTTTTGCTCTCTTCAATTTTATACAAAAATAAAATGTGTTTAGATCTGTTAGTAAATATGTTCTGCTTCACACTGAAAAACTGTGTTACGAAGAAGCAGATATGATGACATGGTGATAGTTTACAAAATGCTGCTTCGTAATTGCTAAAGATTAAAAAATCTAATTAATATGTGCAATTAAAATTACTAAAAATAGGGAAAAAATTCTGTATGCCAAGCATACAAGGAAAGTGATGTGTGTTTTTGTTGAGGAAAGTTATAAAGAAAGCATAAGGACATGCCATAGTTTGTTTGGGTTTTTTTGAAGGAAAGAATAATTTTGTCTAATTCAGAGGTTATTTTAAGGTTGTTTCAAAATACAGATTTAGGAATGAAATAGAAACAAGGCAGAAAGGAACCAGTGAGTAGGAGAAAGGGAGATTTTTGTGTTTTATCAAAATAATTTCCTGTGCTCTACACCATCTTCTTTAAGTCTTTGATTACTTAAGAAAACCAAGTTAAAGGTTTGTTATTGTTGTTGTTGTTGTTGTTTTGCAAATATGTAACTTCTTTTGAAGTCTTTCAATATCACTCTGGTTAAAGGCTTGACTAGTATTTCACAGTGACCTAGGATCCTGTTTTTGATCAAATAATTTGAACCTTTATTTTGACACTTTCTGAAATCAAATTTTAAAGTTTTTAAATTAAGTCTTTTTGACCTTGAATTAACTTTGGGATACCCCAGAGGGCCCTGGAACATCTGAAAGCATCTATAAAACAAAGATATTACACCAGTTGGGCTTATTTGATATGTTAAATTACATGGGAAATATCAAATGATGTTTAATTTTCTTTGAGTTGTATTTATATGGGTATGTTATTAACATGTGCTCCAAAATATGTCTTGGCATAAGTGTTATCAGTCATAATGTTGATTATTATGCTAAAATGTTGTACACCATGAAAATAACAAATTTCCCTGTCAATTGCATCATTATGAAGTCTCATCATGATGAGAGTTGTGGTTTAAAACCTGGTGAGATTTTTTAACCATTTTAAGTCCTGTTGCCCATAGTTAAATTGGTTTATTCTGATGCTTTTTCTGAAAGCTCTTTGCAAGCAACTATAATTCTAAAGCGTTGGGTCTTCAAGGAAGTTCAAGGAAAGGATGAAAAGAATTCTGACAAGTACGGGCTTCTGATAATTTTGAGATACCATTGGGCTCAGTGAGAATTTCTAAAACTAATGAAATAATTAATGGGTTTGTGAAACTACCAACCAAGATGAAACAGACCAAAAATTAATTACATGAGATAGAATAAACTGATAAAAAAGAATTCTGGGTTTTTACAGCTTTTTTATTTGAAACATTTCTGGTTCTTTTAATGTTTTGTCTTCCAGATTTTAAAAAAAAAATTGTTTTTTCCTTTAAGCTATCTACAGTTTACAAGAATTTGGTAAAGTATACATAGATAAACAAAAATTGAGATATTTGCTTTTCCTCCCTACGAAATCCCTCCAAAATTTGAAAAGTATACATGAGTATTCTTATTTTTATGGCAATATGGTTATTCGCATGAATTCATTAAGAATTGCTTTCTTTATAAAAGGATACAATTGGAACACTGGTTATACTACTAGGGCTTTGGTTGGAATGTCATATTTGAGAAGATGCATAGAATACCTGGCAGCAAGTGTTCCTAGCCTTACAGTGAAGGAGTAAAACGTTGTTACTTCCTGGCAGGCCCAGGAGCCTCAAGCTATTAGATATTACAGGTAAAGGATGATTTTTGCCTTGGTTTGGCCTCCTAGCATTGAAAGGTTTTAAAAGTCCAATCTGAGATTCCTTATCAAAATTTCCAGCAAAGCAAATTTAAAAGAAACCAATGTGGTTATTCTTGGTGCACTTACGCAAATAACTAGGCCAAGTTGGAGAATAAATTTATTTTACAAACATATTTGTCTTACCATGATTGTCCTTGGAAAGGTTTGTTGTTGTTGTTGTTGTGGAGAATAAATTTATTTTACAAACATATTTGTCTTACCATGATTGTCCTTGGTAGAAATGAAATGATTGTGGATAAAAAATTTATTTTTAAAAAGAAAACTTTAGTACGCCTGTTATTAGATAGTAGCCCTGCTTATTGTTTTCAATTTTTCATTATCTACCTGGAGACCAAACTGGATTATGAATTCTAGTTTTCTCCAATATCTGGTTACAACTCTCCATGAAGAATGGGAACCACTGCGTTTCTGAAGCCCTATAAGCTGGACAATTCAATGTAAATTTCAAGGGCTAAGTTTCATGCCTTATGTGTGGGCCTACACAGAGCATTCACAGAAGCGTCCAATGCCATAAGACAATTCAATCAAAGACCTTCAAACTACAAACCAGAATGAGAAGCTGCTGACTTCATTCTGTGGACAACTTTTCCCACGATTGCTGGAGCAAAACCCCCAGTGTAACAAGGCTCTTACCCCTCTTAAGGTTTTCTTACCTATGCCCACCTCATTCATTTGGCAGGATGACACTGTAGTGAGGATTTCAAAATCAGTGGTTTTTGGTGGATCGGTGAGTAGCTTGGAAGAGTAGCGGATATGTCATGTCAAACCCAAATCTTTACAGGACCTAAGAGATCCTTTAGTTCATGTAGTGGGTACTTTAGCAACATCCCTGACACAACTATTTGTTCAAATTATAGTGGTGTCTTTTATAGAGTTAACATTCTCTGCTCTAATTTAAGCCTTTCCTGGGGTGCTAGATGATAAAACTGCCACCTACTAACTAAACGGGGAGGAATCTGTGTAGTTGCTGATAGTTTTTCTTGTACACAGATGAATACATTGGGTATTGTAGTGACTCAGTTTAACTTTGATTAAAACGGGTAGATTCCTTCTCTGGCTCATTCCTTGATTTACTCAATTTTAGTTGGTTCAGTTCATGGGGACTCTGCTTAGGCAGCATACTCCAAACACTTGGTATAAGCTGATAATCATAATATCCTCCTAATAGTTACAAAAGTAGTCTCCCTGGTGCGCTGTATCCTCTCAAAAAGTTTTAAATGTTTGTATACAAACATCTGTTGAACATCAAACATTCTTTCCTCATCTAAATGACAGAAATGCCGAGAGACGTATGATCATGAGGACACTGTAGCCTATGAAGGGTGTGTTGAGACTGGAAACTTAGAATGATGGTAATTGAGAGCAGCGCCAACGTCCTGCGTTTTGGTCAGATTCTCGCCTAGGTGAGCACTTGACCAAAAGAGGAATTCTTAAGTGAAAAGTATAGGAGGGCACTGTTCAGGACTAAGCTCCTGCACCAGGCCCCACCAGACCAGACTAAAAATTCAAATAGAGTCACTCATGCTAATGTCCCACGTGACCCAAGTAAAACAATAAGTTGTTTGCTGACTTTCCAAGAAATGAGGAGGGAGAGGTAACAGCCAGTTCCCCAAACAGGTCAGTTCCAACCTTCAGTTGGCATAATAGTGGCCTTCTTTCTGCTTTAATTCTTAACCGGAAGTCATCTGGTATTAACCAATGAATTATCTTTCTATTGTTTTGTCTGTCACCACTGTAAAAGAAAAGTAACTTTGAAGTGGCCAATCTGCTTTTTGTTCTGTTTCTGCTCTATTCAACCCTTTTTCTGTCTCTAAAGCCACTCTCCTCTGCTCAATTTATTGGAACATTATTTTGTTTTATGGAGTGAGGTATTGCCCAATTCTAGAATTGCAAATGAAGTCAAATGAGATCTTTGCATTTGTTGTAATGTTGTCTTTCGACATATCTAAACTGCCAAATCCAAATGACCAAAAACATGAAGTTTAGATGCGATTGAGATCAGGGAAACAGAAAATAAGTTACAATAAACAATGAGTTCCCACTTTAAATCCATAGACTGACAAAAATTATGAAAGAAATCTAATATCAACTGCCTTCAGAAATGCCAGGGAAAACAGTGTCCTCTTCCATTACTGGTACAAATCTGAATTACAGAGTGGTAGGAAAATAAGATGCAGTAAGATGCAGACATGACGGCCAGGCGCAGTGGCTCACACCTGTAATCCCAGCACTTTGGGAGGCTGAAGAGGGCTAATCAGCTGAGGTCAGGAGTTCGAGACCAGTCTGGCCAACATAGCAAAACCCCATCTCTACAAAAAATACAAAAAAATTAGCCAAGCATGGTTGCGTGCACCCGTAATCCCAGCTACTTGGGAATCTGAGGCAAGAGAATCGCTTGAACCCAGGAGTCGGAGGTTGCAGTGAGCCAAGATCGCGTCACTGCACTCCAGCCTGGGTGATAGAGTGGAACTCCATCTCAAAAAAAAAAAAAAAAAAGAATTCTGAACTATATATATAGCCTTTTAAGAAAGCTGTTTGAAAAACAATCTGGCAGCACTTACTAATTTTTTTTAATCTGCATTCTTTATGAATCAACAATCTCACTCCTGAGGAATCTAGCTGTTAGAAATAAAAGAACCAATTTGAAGAATGTAGTTATAAGGTTGCTGTAATATATCACTCTTCGTAGTGGAGGAAGAAAATCTAGAAACAAAGTGAATGTCCATCAATAGAGAGAACGTGAATTCATCACGAAACTTCCTCCCAGTAGTTTGCTGGAGGTGTCTCCAGAGATCCTGCACGGAACTCTTCTCAACTCGGCTCCACCCAGCCATCACACTGGTAGTTTGAAATGAGCCATGGTGGGAACGTTTAGGGCATGGATGTCAGCAAACACTAGCAGTCAGGGCTTTTCCTGAGAGAGCTGGGTGTTCTATCTTTACCAGACAAAACTGCCTTCACCCCATAAAATAATAGGCATTAAAAATCATGCACCATTCCAGTTAAATTACAGGTGTTTTCATTTGGTTTCATTGATTGATATAAGAATAGTATGTGTTCCACTGCATTTTTGAAACACGTTTTTAAAAAACCTTGCAGAAGTGTATATGTGCATAAATATTTTATATGATTATATGAACATGGAGGAAAGTATGAAAGATACATTGGAAAGGGTAATGGGATTATGGAATTAGGGGTAGCTGGGGAGGGGAGGAATTTTTTTTTTTTAATGATTCCATATGTAACTGACATACACACAGGTGTGTGTGTGTGTGTGTATAAAGAAATTAAGGAAACAAAAACTAAGTTTAAAATCCACAACTTTGCAGAGATGTTTGTGCTTTATCATAAAATAAAAAAGCAAGTTGCAGAGCCATGCGTTTGGTAACGATACGGCTCCGATGAGTGGAGGAACACCAGGGCTCTTGTCTCGTGTTGAATTCGATGAAACAACAAGGACACACGTGGAGTGGTTTTAAGGAGCAGAGAATTTAACAGGCAAGAAAAAAGGAAGAAGATCCCCTGTACAGAGACAGAGGGAGGGGGCTCCAAAGCCGAGAGAGGGAACCCCAAGTACGGTGGAAACCAGCCGGGTATATATAGAGGCTGGAGGAGGCGGGGTCTGATTTGCACAGGGCTCAGGGGATTGGTTTGAGCAGGCATGTCATTCATGTAGCCCGCGGAAAAGCTGGCCCTCCCACCCTAGCCTTTTAATATGCAAATGCAGGGCGCCATGATGTTCTACACAGGTAGGGGTATGTGGGGGCAGCCATGAAGCCAGGAACATGTGGGGCAAGGGCAAGAAGGCCAGGGGAATCGCCATGTTTGGGTAGACCCAGTTTCTAATGGCCTGCATTTGCATATCAAAGGTTGTGGGCCTGGCGCTAAGAGCTGCTTTAAAAATGAAAATTTTTCAAGGACTCTTTTTCCTATCTGCCTAAAATAATTTCTTAATAACTCCTACAATAGTATGACCCTGTTTCAGTAAAAAGAAATAAACCCAAACCCCAGTTTCTGTGTATATTTGCTTGCCTGTGCTTGTATGAGCATCGTGAACAGTTGTGTGTAGACTTTGGATATCTCGGGAAGGTAAGATTAGAAGTTAATGATGGTGGGAATTTTCTCTATATGTCTTTGAACTGTTTTGCCTATAACAACTAATATGTTATGTGTTCATAATTTGAAAAACATCAAATGAAAACAATTTCCAGAAAAGAAATTAGGTCCTTCGGATTGTCAACACTCTTTCACATACATTACCACCTTTGCCTCACTTACCTGTGTAGGAAGAACAAACATGGCTATCTCCACTTCACTGTTAAGGAAGCAGAGCTGGGAGATGGAAACTGCCTTGTCCATGACCACACGACTATGGGCATTGGAACGTGTCTCCCACCCAGTCTCTTGACCCACAGTCCAGGGGTTTTTAGATACCGCAGTGGATGTGGGAGGAGAAAAGCAGCAGTGACAACAGAGAGTGGCCAATGGTATCTTTCTAGGCAAGGACAACTCCGCAGCAGGAATGAACTCTGCCTATGACATAAAACATACGTGAACACACAATTATCAGTATTTACCATGTATATCTAAGAAGGCTATTTGTCTAACCTTGCCTGAAGCAGCTAGCATTTGTAATCTTACCACATCATCTGGAAGCTTCAGTGCTAGTTTCATGGGGTTATTCTAGGTCACTTGCCCAGAAGAACCTTCATAAACATCAACTATGGTAGGGAGGAGGGAATAGTGCCTGGCATGCCTTTCTTCCATATCTGTAAGGTGACTTTCCAAGGCCCATTCTGCCAGCTCTATAAGAAGGGAATCCAGTTGGAGACCTTGCAAGTCCTCACCTGTGGGACGTCCTCCCAGGACATGGATTTGTGTACTGTTCCTTTACCATATCAGCATCTTTAACAAACACACCCCGTGCTTATTTAAGAGATCTCTAAGTTCCTGAAAACAAAGGAGTGTGCACTGTGACATGGCCAAATGAATCACAGAGTAGCTCCAGGTGGAACTGGGCCAGGTGGCAGTGAGCTCCAGGTGGAAGTGGGCTGGGTGGCAGTCTTATCATTCTCAGTGGCACTTTGTGTGTTCTTGCCTTTGCTGGCGTGGGTTTGTCTTTTGAAAATGGATTGGGAATTACGTTTTGGGGTTCAAAAATATTATTTCCACACCTACATTGATCTGGGTGTGTTTGACTAATGTTTGTGTTATGAACATACGACACGTTGGTTGTTATAGGCAATGAGTTTTAGTGGAGCTAGTTGCAGTGTGATGAGCAGAGACCCAAGTCTGGAGCCCATGGATCTACAGAGAGACCTGGCTTTTCTAGTAGCTGTAGGATCTTGAACAAGCCAGAAATTCTGTGTGGGTCAGTGTTCCCATCTCTAATATAAGAATTATTAAACCTGCTTCTTGTCCCTCATGGATCATTGTGAGAATCAAACTGGAAAACGTATAAGAAAATGACTTGCAGACCATAAAGCACTTTAGACACACAGATGTGGTTATTGATTTGCTGTGTCATAGGGAATGAGAAGTCTTCTCCTTAGACCCCTATTTTCAGGCACATATAAAAAATATGTATGTATACATGACTTCAATTTTAAATCCTTCATGGTTAATACAAGATCCCTGGTAAATCTTTTTTGTAATGTTGAGTGAAATTCCCTCAAGAGATTCTGTTCATATATCTGCAAAGCAGTATTTGCCACCAACAAATAGGGATTTTAAAAATATGTTTTCCCCTTGACCATAGTTATTTCTGCTTGACACTATGCAAATGCCTTTATTTCACAATGCTTTTTCCTTGTTTCTTTAAACAAGAGCTTCAGAAACAAGAGTAGTACACTGTGTTGCTTAAGATTTTCAAAATGCAACTAAGTCTTTCCATTCAAAGTTCAGAATATTCTTCTAAATGTAAATAAGATCCACTTTACATTTTTGGAATGCAACCTGGTAAAGATCATTAAGATTAAAAATAATAACCTCTTTGGTTATAGATGTGACAAAGCATATAATAAAGCTAACATTCATGGAAGGTTTCCTGTGTGCCAGGCACAAGGCTAAGTGCTTTACAAGGATCATCATCTTTAATCATCACAATTCAGTGAGTAGATATATTATTATCCTCATTTTGCAAATTTGGAAGACTGGGCTACTGAATTCAACAAGACACCACTTTTTCCCCATGTGTTCATGAAACGTCACTATTAAAGTGGATATCCATCAAATTTAGAACATCAAGCCCTGGCAGATGGGTAAAGAACACTAGAAACCACCCTTTCTATACGCCAGACACAGTGCTAGACCCTTATCACAAACGATCTCATCCAACCTTCCCACTGCCTTACTATTTCCCAGACAAAGACATGAGGCTCAGGAAGATGGCAAACTACTGTTGTTGAGATTGTTATTGGCTGCCAGGCCTAGTGCTGGGTGTTTTTCAATGGCCTCCTCATAAACAGACAATCCTCAGATAAGGAAACTCGGTGAAATGCATACAGTAAACAAACGCATGAAAAAAATGGTCAGCATCTCTAATAATAAAACATTACAACTGAAAACATCAATGAGGTACCAATTGCATTTGTCACATTAGCCAAACAACGCTAAATGCCAATGGTAGTGACTTCATAGTGAAGCTAATTTATTTATATATTGCTGGTGGCATGTTTATGGCCAAACACTAAGATGCAGCATACAAATGTACGCCCGTTCTAAGATTACCCACAACGTGAAGGGAACCCAGCAAAATGAAAACAGCTGTTGTGTTAGAGCGGAATAAAATGTTTAATCTCTCAGATTGTCTTCGCTCTTTTATAATACTGTTTTTGCAATAAATAAAACTGGGGCAAAAAAGCATTTTATTATCCCATCTATCACTTAGAGTTGGGGGTTGCATTCCTGACTTCAATAAATCATAGATATGACCAAGAAATAATGAAAAAGCCAAGATTCAGTAATTTCAAGCTTCTGTCTTCACCTGAGATATCAAAAGTAGGCTCTAAAACACAGAATTTTATGATCCTCATTTAACCGCCTCATTTTCTTGATGAAGAAATGAAGGCCTAGAGACATAGAATTTCTTGTCAAGGTCAAACAGTTGCATGTGGAGCTGCAGCAAGCACCTGTTGCTCACTAAAAGAAAAAAAAAAATTCCTTAAAAGGAAAGTGCATTTGCTATTTATATGAAACTGCCAAAAAATTGGCAGAAAAGAAAATGGGGAGATCTCAGAATTCAAATGCTGGAGCAAATGTGTCCCTGGAGTCCATTCTGGAACTTCTGGTTGGGATGTGCTGGCCACCCATCTCAAGGTAGGGTCTTACTCTGAGGCAGTGGCTCTCACTGTGGGGCTCCCGGGCCAGCTGCATCAGCATCATCTGGGAATTTGTTAGAAATACACATTACTGGGACCCGTTCATGGTACAGTGAAGCATAAATTCTGAGAGCGGGGCCCCACAATATCTTTTAACGAGCTCTCAGCGCGTGTTTCTGCTGCATGCCGAAGGCTGAGAAACAGGCTCTAGGGCATTGCCTCGTCAAGTTCAGTACGTGGGAATTGCCTGGGGATCTTGTAAAACTGTAGGTTCTGATTCATCAGGTCAGAGGGATGGGGTCTGGGAGACTGCAGTTCTAAAAAGTTTTCAGGATATGCCAATGCTGCCTCTTTGGGAGCCACACTTTGAGTAGCAAGATTCAAGTAAAGCCATGTGCCCATGAACAGATGCCAGGCTTGCATACATTGAACCTCAGCCCTCTGTGTCCTTCCTACTCCGAGTGTGGCCCAGACTCAGCATCGTGGGCACCCTCTGAAGCTTGTTGGAAAGGCAGACTCTCAGCCCCACCCCAGACCACTGCATGTAATCTGTATTTTAAGAAATTCTGCAGGTTTACTTGCCAACATTAAAGTTTGAGCAGTCCTGGTGGAAGGAGGCTGCCGGAGGCAGAGGGACAGTTAGCATCTCTGAGCCAGTCACCTCCACCAGGCAGCATCAAGACTCCACCCTAGTGTAACTGACAGATGTTACCTCCCACATTTGGAAAGGGCTGGTGGCCCAGGGGTAAGGGGAGGGGAGCTAGGGTGTCACCGGACAGAACGGCCAACAACAGGGGCTGGGTAGGGGAGAATGGGGGACAGGAATCATGCAGGAGTATTTTTAATGCAAAAGTGTTAAGAAATAAGGCTTCTCCCCCGACAAAACCAAAATAAGACAAAACAATGCCTGCTGTTGAACGTTTTGCCAAGCAGTGCAACTTCACCACATAAGGATGGGTGGGCGGCAGGCACTGAGGTTATCGTCACCTCCTCCTAAACCTTCCCTCCCAGCCACAACCCTGCTCCAGAAACCAAGACGTGGGAAAGGGCTGCACAATGAAGAGAGGTTCCAGCTGGAAGCATTTTAGAAACATTGCCTACTGCATGAATTTCCTATGCTGCTATAGGAAATCACCACAAACTCAGTGGCTTAATCTCAGTTCTGGAGCTCAGAAGTTCTAAAATCAGCCAGGCACAGTGGCTCACGCCAGTAATCCCAGCACTTTGGGAGGCTGAGGTGAGTGGATCACCTCAGGTCAGAAGTTTGAGACCAACCTGGCCGACATGATGAAACCTCGCCTCTACTAAAAATACAAAAATCACCCAGCTACTTGGGAGGCTGAGGCAGGAGAATCGCTTGAACCCTGGAGGCGGAGGTTGCAATGAGCCGAGATCGCACCTTTGCACTCCAGCTTAGGCAACAGAGTGAGACTCCATTTCAAAAAATAAAAAGAAGTTCTAAAATCGAAAAGTCAGTGGGGCTGTGTTCCATCTGCAGGCCTTATAAAAGGACATATTTATCTGCCTTTTCCACCTGCATTTCTTGGCTCATGGCATCTTCCTCCATCTTCAAAGCCAGCAGTGTAGCGTAGCATCTTCAGACCTCCCCTCCTCCAACTTCTGCTTCTATCCTCACATCCTCCTCTCTGAATTTCCTGCCTCTCCCTTTCCTTTCTAAGGACCCCTGAGATGACACTGGACCTCCTAGATAATCCAGGATAACCCCCATCTCAGGGTCTTTAATTTAATTATGTCTGCAAAGTCCCCTTTGCCATGAAGAATGACATATTCACAGGTCCAGGGATTAGGATGGAGACATCTTTGGGGGTTGGGGGGGCAGTTCATTGCTCTGCCTACCACACCCTTTCCAAAGCTTCTCTCATGGGTCTGTGGGGAAGGACGCCACCTTGCCAGGGGGCTTGCTGGGCTCCTGTGCCCTGTCTTTGAATCTGGAAAATAATGTTAATGTCACTGCCTCATTCAGAGCTGAGAACATTGCAGTATTTCATGTGTCAGACTTCCCACTGTCAGCAGGACTTAGCTTAAGTTATTTATAGTGTCAATGGCTTGCCTTTTGCATTAATGTAACTGTTTGTGTTAAATAAATTTTTAAGATAGGAGCCATTCAGAGCCCCACTGGGGAGTGCTTTCCGTTCTGTGGGGCACCAAGGCTCACGGGGAGAGCTTAATGAGACTAAGCGGCCATTGTTATTTATCAGACCCAGCTGCCCTCTCACCAACCCCAGTCACACCTGAAATATGCTCAGCTCATGAAGCTTCCACTGAGGACTGGCTTTCTTGCTGACTCTAAATGACTTTAGGTCTGGTGCAGGTAATGGGGTGGGTGATTGGCCTCAGGCCCCAGCTGTAATATAGGAGTCTGTCAACAAGGCCTTCCACTGCTGGTGGGGCTGTGATCTGGAGCAGGAAGCCTGTGCATGCCAGGCTCCTCCAGACCCTGGCCAGGGCTCAACTTACCCTGATGGGCTTCCTTCTGGGAAGCACTGGAGCTGGAAAAGTTCTGATTCCCTCAGCAAAGCCTGCACATCAGGTCCGTGGTAAATGCTGGGGTGCAACCACAAAAGGCCTGGTCCCCGCTCCAGGAGCTTACCGACAATGAAAAGAAACAGCAACAGTGCAGGGCGGGAGGCATCATGGTAAAATTAAGAAAAGGGTGTTCAGGGGAGAAGAAGGAGCCCCTATCTGGCCTAGCAACAACACATGAGCTGGGGCCCAAAGAATGAGCTGGAGCTAATCAGGTGAGGGGCCGAGGAGGCTTTCCCGCAGGAAGAGAAGCTGGGGCACAGTGAGCACGTGGTAGGCGCTGGCTATTGGCATCTGTGTTACTATTATTCATGTACTCCTGCATGCATGCCATGCAGAAAGGGCACTGTAGTCATGACATCTAACAACCTCATCCTTACCATGTGCTGTGCCCCATGGGCTTCCCCTATGTTAACTCATGTGCGGCTCACAACCACCTGTGAAGTGGTGACTATTGTTACCTTGGAAGGAAACTGAGGCACAGAGAGCTTAAGGCAGAGGTGAGGTGATGTGACTCAGAGCGGCAAAGCTAGGCTGCCCCTCCTCACAGCCTGATTCGACAGCCCAACTCTTAGACAATTGCCTGCCCTGAAGTCCCCAGTCCCCGGTACCCGGTAACATGGCAGCTATAGATGGGATAGGATGAGTAGCAGCACAGTACCAGACAAATAGTTCTGGATTCTTCCACAGAGAGCTGGGTGCCTTGGAAAAGTTACAGGGTTCAGCCTTGATTTTTTGGAATGTGGTGGGCGGGGAAGAAACCTGCAGGCCTTCCACGAGACCCTCATCAGCTGCTCTCGGCTGCAGGTGTGAATGGCTCCAATGCACACTCGAAAACTGCGCCCCCAGCAGAGACAACATCGCTCCCTCCAGCTCCCAGATCTTTTAACCTGGAAGGGCCTTGGTCTTTCAAGAAGCTGCCCCTGTGTGGAATGTCAGGCGCCTCTACCATGGGTGAGGAGTGACAGCTCCCTACTCTGTGGCCCAGCACTTCAGGAGGCCTGGTGACAAATCCACTCTAGATGGTCCCAGAGGAAATGGTCTAGTGGCCAATGAAGGGTGGGAGGACAGACACCAATGCCATGGCCTGGATCCCAGCAATTACCCTAGATGCTTATGAAACAGTTCATAGAGACCCTCCTTCCTCCAAAGCTCTTCCTTTGCCATTTTCATTAAAAGCCACCGCTAACTGTCATCACTCTGACAGCCCCAGGGAGAACATACTCTTCAGGGTCTGATGCATCTTGGCAACAATATTTTCCTCTTCCTCCCAACAACACAATTGATCCCCCTTGCCCCTGGTACTCACCCCCGTTTCAGCCTTTTCATTGGAAAGTGATGAGCCACGCGAATACCCTTCGGGCAGGCTTCCTGTCCACATATTTGGTCAGCTCAACCCATAAACAAAGGCGATTTGCAGAGATCCTTGGCTCTGACAACCTGGGTACTGCAGATAACTGAGGCAGAGCCTCAGGCTGCAGCCAGATTGGTCAGGCAGCCGGAACGCCTCAGGCCATTTTAAGAAGCTCCCACAATCAAGTTCTTTACCTGACATGACCTATGAAATCAAGATTCTCGGTGCTATTGGAGGGAAAATTAAGTGCCTTACTCAAATTATGTCAAGTGCCCTGCCAAGCATGACTGCTTTTATTTTATTTTCTTAGTTGTTTTTAGTTGTCTTGATTGTGCTTCGAGGGCAGAGAAAGTTGAGTTAGTCAGATTCCTTGGTTCTTACTTGTCAGCGCGGCCGTGACTAAGAACTGCTTCGCTGAAACCCTGGCTCTACCACTTAGCAGCCATATGGCCTTAGCGGCATCTCTATGTTAACTAGGGTTAGCAATGGTGCCTACCACTGCAAGCCTGTTGTAAGGGTAAAATGGTTATTGCAAAAAAAAAATACTTGGATATATGACTGATGAACAGTAGGAACTATGCATTTGTATATTGTTAAAATTAGATTTTTCCCCTTTTGATTATTATTTGACTTTTCTCCTTCTTCCCGCATCTCTACTTCCCTCCTCTTCTCCAGGGAGCCAGTCTAAAGTAGTTGACGTATGGCCTGTTATCCTTGTAAACAGGCTTTTCAAAGTCAGAATTAATTCCAGGCCACACGTCACAGCTAACAGCCAATGGCGTTGTATTAACAATTTCCATAAGGGCTGGGTAAACTATGACCAGCTACAGTGATCACCATATTCTGGGCTAACAATTGAATTTACCTGTAAAATAACTTCTTTATAGACAGATGCTTTGTACTGACAGTGTATAAGTCTGGGTTCTTTGTTGCAAGCAACAGAAATTGATCCTGGCTGAGAATCTCACAGAATGCCCAGCCATGGGGTAGGGGAATCCCTCAAATCTATGCCATCTTACAGAGATGTAAGGGATCATCTTCAATGTATGGCTCCTAAGGCTGCCCAGGGTAGAGACATCCAGAAAATGCGAGAAAGATGGCCATGCATGGGAGGTTTTATTGGCCAGGCCCAAAGGTGGCTCTATGCCATTGGTTAGAATTCAGTCACATGGCCCAACTGCAAGGGAGGCTGTAACCTGGCTGTGTGCCTCAGGGAGGAAAAAAAAGAAAGTGGGGTTATTGGTCAGCTAACAGTCTCTGCTATGGAAAACAAGCATTTGGTTATTTCAGTTACTATGGCAGAAAACAGACTCTCCCTCCCACACAGTTCCATATGGCAAGAAATTCTTCAGACTTATCAAGGGGTTTCAAATCCTCAGCATCAAAAAAGATGAAAAACGTCCAATACAGGCATTACAAGAGACACTCAAGGTCTCTCCTGAAAGAGAGGGGATCCCTCTTTGGTTGCAAACAAGGTATTGGCTGGGCTACAGTCTCATCTGAAGACTTGATTGGGGCTAGTAGGGGAGGGAAGGCTTCCTGAGGCAGTTTTTTCTTCCCTTGCAGAGGCTGAATGCTGTGTTTTCTCATCTACAATTTCAACAGAGGTGATGCTAAAGATTTTTCAAAGGTAGTAAGACGTAAGCTTCCTGTGTAATGCTAACCCCAGCACTTATAGCAGGAGCTTCTCATTCATTCATTCAAAATCATATTTTTAAGCACCTACTGTATGCCAGACATTCTAGGCATTGGGAATACAGCAGTAAAGAAAACCCCCCAAATCCCTCCATAGAGTTTGCATTCTCCTTTGATTTTGGGGCCATTTCATGATGCAGGTTCACTATTTTAGGCTTTTTTTTTTTTTTTTGAGATGGAGTCTCACTGTCACCCACGCTGGAGTGCAGTGGCATGATCTTGGCTCACTACAACTTCCGCCTCCTGGGTTCAAGCGATTCTCCTGCCTCAGCCTCCCAAGTAGCTGGGATTACAGGTTCCCACTACTGCACCTGGCTAATTTTTGTATTTTTAGTAGAGATGGGGTTTCACCATGTTGGCCATGGTTGGCCAGGCTGGTCTTGAACTCCTGACCTCAGGTGATCACCCACCTCAGCCTCCCAAAGTGCTGGAATTACAGGCATGAGCCACCACACCCAGCCTAGGCATCTTTTAAAAACCATTTTAATGTTCATAGTTGGTGTGGCCAAGAGGTCCCTCCTGTTAGGATCCCTTCCCCCACCTTCCCCCCAGCCCCACCCTACACACAGACATTGGGATCCACAACATGCATCTGGGAAATCCCAAGTCACAGATGATGGCAGATGAGGCAGCTCTGGGGTAAGTAGCAGCCCATACTCCCTTGTTCTCTGATTCTGCTCCTGAAATTTAAAATTCTGTGGAATGAATGGTGTGCCATGAACACTGGCCTTCATTCATTTCACAATGCACTGAACACTACACTCGTGGAGCAGCAGTGTGATCTGTTTCTTCACTTATTCAGCCACTGGCAAACATCTTCACTCTACATGGTAACAAAGTGCCAGGCCCTTGGGCTTACCGCGAAGGGAGAGGCACGACTCTTACCTTCCCAGTGCTTTCCACACAATGATGGAAACTTGTGACCAAAGTTTGAGCCCTCTCACTGTTGGAAACATGGCTCTCCTTGAATCAGCATCCACCCACTCCCATTTTGTTTGTTTTATTAAGAGAGCATGAAGATTCTCAGCCTGGGAAGCCCATGAGGTAAAAGAACCAAGTCAGACTCTTCAGCACACCTGAAGGCATCTTGTGAACACGGAAGCTGTGTTTCCAGTAGAACCTGTATTTAATTTATTCCCATGAAGGTCCCCAAGTGGACCGCATCTGTATACCCTAGTCCAGATTTTTAAATCCTCTGATGCTGCAGAACCACGCTGATCACAGCAGAAACTTAAATGGATCCGAAACTTGAGGAACACCAACCCACAGCAGTTTCCTTCTTGGTAGAATGTGAGGGTTGAATTTGAGGACATGGAAATGACAATGGCTTTTGTGGAAAAAGAGCACATTGTCAGCTCCTCCCCAAAGCATTAACTGCATGGATGGGCTATTTCAGACAGTGAGACCCGCTGTGATATTAAAGAAAAAAAAAAAAAAAAGATTGCTTGGGATACGTTGCTATGCTATTCCGCTTTTAAAATGCTGCTCTTAGGCAATGACAGATACCATGGCATGACAGGCCGCCTTTTCTTCCTTCCGTTTTACAATTCCTGTCCGAGCAGCAGAGGCATGGCTGAATTCTAACAGGGGTGTGGGCTGGCAGGGGATGGGCGCAGGTGTACTAGCAGGGCCGTGCTTTGGGTTGGTGAGGAAAGCAATATATGAGGAGGGAACCCTGATGCCCTTCTCTACCTGCCTCATGATCTTGCTTTCACACAGCTGCTTGTAAGGCCTTTCATCTTAAGCCCAGCAAGCACCATGTCAACCAGCTATTTGCAAATTGTTGAAGAGGGAGCTGGGGAGAGGGGGAAATGGGGAGTTACTGTTTAACAGGTGCAGAGTTTCAGTTTGGAAAGATAAAGCTCTGAAAGTAGATGGTGGTGAAGATTGCACAACAATGTGAATGCACTTAATGGCATTATGAGCAAAAATTATGTTCCAGGGAGTTGTAATTGGCTCAGTCTCTGGACAAAAGTTACCCAGGATAATCTTAAACTTCGTTGGTAAAACAAAAAAGGCGGGGGGGGGGGGCTTTTTCGAATTCCTAGACTTGCCTATATGCATACACAATTAGAACAAAGACACTGAATTTACCAGAAGCTATAAGAAGCCCAATTGGCGTGTTGAAAGTTCTAAATGGAATGAAGAGGTTACCATTGCCTTTCTTAGATAAAATAATTCCAAATTGAGTATCTTAATGAAGCAGAAAGACAGATTAGCCCTGAGGAGACTGAAGCCAAAGTTGTTAAATGTCTTTGAAAGATCTCTCTTCGGCTGGGCACAATGGCTCATGCCTGTGATCCCAGCACTTTGGGAAGCCGAGGCAGGTGGATCACCTGAGGTCAGGAGTTCAAGATCAGCCTGACCAACATGGTGAAACCCCCTGTCTACTAATAATACAAAAATTAGCTGGGCATAGTGGCACATACCTGTAATCCCAGCTACTCGGGAGGCTGAGGCAGGAGAATTGGTTGAATCCAGAAGGTGGAGATTGCAGTGAGCCAAGATTGTGCCACTGTACTCTAGCCTGGGTGATAGAGTGAGACTCTATCTCAAAAATAAAAATAAAAATAAAAATAAAAATCTCCCACTAACCCCGTTCCTGCCACTCTGCCATCCTCTGCACCTTTTTTTGCCACCTCTGCTTTATCCTTCACTCCCTCCGTCCTCTTTCACTCTTTCAACTGTTATTTTGAAAAAGTTTCTACATTTTCTCTGGACTTGTCTGTGTATTTCCTTGTGGAATCCTCTGATGATTCTTGTCATTTTGTGTAGATTTAGCATCCATTTTGGTCCTTCTCTAATACCCCCAGACTTCTTGAGACGCTTGAATTCTCTCTCTGCTTGCTACTCTGTTTTCTCTAAAATTCTGTAAGGGCTTCAGCCATGTGGAACAGATAAACTTCAGCTTGTTCCCTTTACAGAGATACTGTTTGAGTCCAACTGTCCTTTTAAACTAGTGGGTTTTACCTGACTCATAGCTAAAATTTTAAAATTAAAGCTATAAGGTCTTTATTTGTGTCTCACTCCAGTTTTATGTACAGATATGTATACATGTCTGTATATTGTCTACATCAGGAGTTCCCAACCCCCAGGCCACATACTGGTACTGGTCTGTGGCCTGTTAGGAACTGGGCCACACAGCAGGAGGCAAGCAGTGGGCAAGCGAGTATTACAGCCTGAGCTCCACCTCCTGTCAGATCAGCAGTGGCATTAGATTCTCATAGGAGCACAAACCGTATTGTGAATTGTACATGCGAGGGATCTAGATTGTGTGTTCCTTATGAGAATCTAATGCCTGATGATCTGAGGTGGAAGAGTTTCATCCCAAAAGCATCCCCCACCCCATCTGTGGAAAAATTGCTTTCCATGAAACAAGTGCCTGGTGCTAAAAAAGGTTGTGGACCACTGGTCTATATGACACCAAATTGGTTTATAAATAAATGAATACTAGAATATTAAACAAATGAGCCCAGTTGCTTTTCAAATTCATGTAACTTAGTAATCTTTTGGCAGATGGGACTAGTCTAATATTGTTGGTTTGATGGGGCTGTATCTTCTGAGGTATCAGCAAAGTATGCATGGATTTCACTTTAGGGTTCCTGCTTTTATGATGCTTGCCTGGCAGAGAGTAATATAAAACTGGTTGATAGAAAATTTAGCTTGGGATAGTTGCTAGATTCTTGTAGTGTCTTACGAAGTTTTCTAAATACATTAAGTAAATGAATTAAATGTTTGTAAATGGGATGAAAGTTTAGTAAATGAACTTTTGATAATGGATGTTTTGTAATATGTTTACATGGAAAGGTTTCTCAAATCTCTTTAGTAACTCTTCCCTTAGAGTTTTGCTAAGCTAAATTAAATGATAGATATTCATTAAATATCTAGATTATTTCCAAAGAAGTTAATGCTAAGACATTGATTGCTGAATATCAGTTTAGGCTTATATACTTTTGGCTTATTATTTCAGAGAAAAGAAGCTACTTAGATTTGTTAGTAAACGTCCTGCTCCACATTTAAAAATTGTTCTGTTAGAAAGCTTATGTTTCTAAAAATTATAAAATGTGTACCCACAAATAGTACATATCTGACACCTTAACATACTTATTTCCTGGAGTTTTTATTAAAAATTAAGGTTACTAAGAGTTACCATTGTAATTTAGATATAAGAAAAAACATTTCTATATGCAAAGTGTATACGGAAATGAGGATGTGTTTTTAGAAACGAAGGCTAATAAGAGAATAATTTTGTATGAGAGTCTTGTGCAATACATTTTTGTCCTACAGTAAAATGACTTGTTATTTAAGAAAAAGGAAGCATTGGACAAAGTGGAAAGTCCAAGCATGTCATACGTGATCTAAGTAAATCATGATAAGGTTTATGAAAAGAAAGTTTATAAAACGAATGTTCAGTGTGGTCAGTTTGGCTACAATTGGAAGAAAATTGTTTATAGTTCTTTCTAAGGATTGAGTTTTGATATTAGAAATGTACTAATGTAGAATTTAAAAATTTGATCCCCTGTGTTGGAACAAGGTTTTCTGAAAATATTTATGTGTTCTTAGTAAAATTGCAAGAGGTTTTTATTTTATTTTTGAAATCTATTTCTTTAACTGTCATCCTTTAAACTATAAAGTTTCTAATTCTGCCACATTTCTTCTTGAAAGCTATCTAATTTCCCTAGTTTCAGATTGGAAATACAGCTCTCCTTTCTACCCTTGAAAAAGTATATCTTTTTACTTGGCTAAGTGCTAACCCGCTCCTTCAACTTTTCACCAGCTCCTTTAACCTTTTCTCTGGTTCAAACTCTGTCATTATGGCCTGATGCTAAAATGTGTATCTTGAAGGTCTAGAAAGTAGTGTTTTCTCCAGCACAGCCTGATTCTGTACTTTGGGCTTTTCTTAATGTGCCTGAATTTACATTCACCAGAAAACTTCCTACCCTATATTTCGGTTTTGGTTTTCATTTTGAGAAAGTCTTACTCTGACACCTAGGCTGGAGTGCAGTGGCACAATCTCAGCTCACTGCAGCCTCTGCCTCCCAGGTTCAAGCGATTCTCCCACCACAGCCACCTGAGTAGCTGGAATTACAGGCACCCACCACCACGCCCAGCTAACTTTTGTATTTTTAGTAGAGATGGGGTTTCACCATGTTGGTGAGGCTGGTCTCAAACT